CTTGATAAGAAATGTACTCATTATCTTGCCCATGTAATTGTAACCCCTCTGTACAGTATGTTCACAAAAAATAAAAATTTAAATTAAAAAAAAAAAGCCTCCATGGGCTGGGAATGTGGCTTAGTGGTAGAGTGCTTGCCTAGCATGCATGAAGCCTTGGGTTCAATTCCTCTGTACCACAGAAGTAGAAAAAGGCGGAAATTGTGCTGTGGCTCAAGTGGTAGAGTGCAAGACTTGAGCAAAAGAAGCTCAGGGATAGTGCCCAGGCCCAGAGTTCAGGCCCCAGGACTGGCCAAAAAAAAGTTTCCATGCATTAACTGCCTTCATTTTAAGTGGCTACCATATGCTTCATTAGTTTTGATACTTAGTTTTTCCATCATTTTCCAGGTTATAACTTATCTGCAAAAAAATAACTAGTTTAACTTCCCTCCCTACTCCTGCCTCTCCAGGTACTGGAATTTGAACTCAGGGCCTTGGCACTGGCTAGTGAGGGACTGTAGCACTCTGAGCTATGCCTCCAGCTATTGTTGCTTTTTATTTTTCAGCTAGAGAATAGTATTTTCTCCCTGGGCTAGCCTTGGCCTTTGGTCCCCTCAAGCTCTACCTCCTGAGTAGCTGAAATGAGTCTTTATTTTTTAAAAATAGTTTTGATATATCTCATTTTTTTTCTGATTGTTTGTTCATTGTTTCATTGAGAACTTAGGACAGTTGGGGAAGGGGGATGGGCAGGAAGGATAATGGTTATCCTTTTCTTATTTGTCATGAGTATCCCTTGGAACCTACAGCATTGTTCTGACATGGAACCTAATATTTGTTGAAGAATTAATGTGATCTAGAATTTTTGTTTTTGTTGTTGTTGGTTCTGGGTTTGAACTCATGGCTCCACTCTTTTGGTTGGCTTTTTTTGCTCTTACAACTTGTAAGAGTCTCATAGATTTTCCTGCCCAGGCTTAATTTTGAACCAAATTCCTCAGATCTCAGACTCTCAAGTAGCTAGGATTACAGGTATGAGCCACCAGCACTACCTGATCTACAACTTTCTGATTAGTCTAGTACCTTTAATCTTAACAACTTTGGAAGCAATCCATGATTATTTCTGTTTCACAGATTGACATCAGGAAAAGTATTTAACTGTCAGAAAGTTTCAGGAAAGGTATTTAACTTGCACCAAGTCTCAGAGCTTAAGGAAAATGTCTTCCCAGCTGCAAAACCTTCTTCTAAGAAATGAGTCATTTTCTACTTCAAGTCCTAGAGAAAACTTGCTTTGGTATTACTGGTATGTTCCCATTCACTTTCAAATCAAGATGGAAGCAGTAAAGATCCCAGTGATGGTCAACTTAGTGGTTAGATTAGCTTAGATTTGACAAAGCAGGTTTTCTGGCCTATAGTATACTCAATTTCCAGACATTTCTGGACCTGGGGCAGGAGGGAATTTAATACTGGTCAGGCAGTGCCAGACTTGTCTTTGGTAGGGACCAAGCAAGTTCAAAAGCCAAGTTCTCCCACCTCACAATCTGCAGCCTCCTTCAGGCAAGTAGGTCCTTCAGTCTAGGGTGTGTTTGGTGCTGGCCTATTACTCACCAGTCCCAGGCCTTTGACCATAGACAAGGTGCTAACTGTGTTATGCTATCCTTCAGCCAGGGGTGCTGGTACTGATCTTGGGTACTGTGATGCTTGGGAAGATTTTCTAGTACCCCTCATTGTGGGGCTGGCTGGGAAATCAGGTGAGTTCTCCAACAGCTAAAACAAGAAGAAAGAAGAAGGAGAAGAAAGAAGAAGAAGGAAGAAGAGGAGGAGGGGGAGAGGGAGGAGGGGGGGGCGAAGGAAAGACTGTCATAGCCTGAACTTCTAAGATGACTTGGATCCCTGTTTTTTATTTTATTAGTGCAAAAAAGAAACACTGTAATTAATGATTCAATGTGACATTTTCACACCTGCATATAATGTGCTTTGATCATAGTTACCCTATCTGTTGCCCTCTTTCCTCCCTCCCTGCTTCTATGCTATAAGAGAACATGCAGGAGTGAAATGTCCTGGTTCGGGATGGTGACCCTAAGTCCTCAGTGGAAAGGATCCCTTTTTAGTGCCACCACTATTTTCTCTCAGAATTTGGTCATCCAGGAAGAAGAGAGGTTTGTGAGGGCAAGAAAATATTTAAGCAGCTTGCAAAGCTACAAGTTCACCAACAATAGGAGGAAATCCTAACTATGGGGCCAAAGAACCACCCCAGCTTCCTCTCCACTGCTTATTGGAGGTTCTCAGGAAGAAAAGTTTATGAGGGGTAGGGTAGTTACAAAATACCAAAAGTCTACCCTCAAATCCCATGGAACGGGATGCAAGCTCATTGTATAGGGAATTGGTGACATGACTTAAGAACATGATTAATCTCATCATGTAGTTCAGAATTAAGCTCACTTAATGTAATAAGTGTGTTGGTTTGAGACTTCATTTGAGTGCAACCAAGCATCTTTATGTCAATATTTTATTTCCACCTTGGCTTAGTACTTAGTAATACCTTAGTAAGCCAAGCTGGAAATGCAAAGCTCAGCACAAGCTCTTGTAATTGACTCTTTGGGGAATGTGAACAGTCTGAATAGAAGGAAATCTAAGTGGCCCGGAGAAACTATCTTCTTGGGTGGTTTGGAAGAAATCAGGACAGGTGCTCATGGCTCATACCTGTAATCCCAGCTACTCAGGAGGCTGGAAGTGGAGCTGTGGCTTAAATGGTAGAGCACCAGCTTTGAGCAAAAAGAAAAAAACAAAACTATGGGATATCACCCTGGCCCTGGATTCAAGCCCCAATAACAGTACACACACAAAAATGGGAGCAAAAGAAAGAAAAAGAAAAAAAAATCACAAGGGCTTGAGATGTGGTAGAAGTGGTAGAGCCCTTGCCTATCAAGCAGAAGCATTGAATTCAAATTCCAGTACTGCCAAAACTTAAGAAATCAGAGCAACAATGGTTGCTGTTCTCTAGAATGAAACTTACAAATGTAACTAAAGCTGGTATTTACAATGTGGGAGAAACCACAGCTCACCTCACTACTCTTCACAAGAATTCCAGCAGCAAGGTTATGTTTGGTAGTTGGCAGAATTTAAGCTCAGAAAGATGACAATCTGGCCACACTGGTGATAAGTAAGTACCAGAGCTGAATTCAGAGTCAGCCCTACTTGGTCCACAGCCTAATTCATCATAGGGAAAGTTTTGCTTTGGAGTAGGACTTGGGTAGGAGACTGATTTCAAGTTGGTCTCTCAGTGGTGGTTTCAAGTGGGGCAGGAGATGATGTGCACAGCACGGGCACCTGGCAACTGCCCCATGTTGCCCTCCTCAATACCTACTCGAGTTCTGTTTCACTGCATGCTACAATTAAGTATGGCATTTGGAGTCTGAGGTAGCTACTGCAGGCTCCCTCCTAACTTGTGGGTCCCGAGTCAGGTGTATCCACAGGGCACACATATCACATGGGGGCAAGCAGGCTAAGGAATTGGAATATTTTTTTTTTATCTTTTGACATGGACAAATAGACCTTCCTAGTGATCCTCCCTGAAGAATGAGTTGTTGAACGTACCCACACTACAGAAATGCAGAAGCCTTGGCAAAGTCGACCTTTAGGCTTTCTTGCTTCTCTTTGCACCAGCAGCTCTTTCCTGCCACCTATAGGTCAAGATTTGCTTACACTGGTGGGTCCCATCTGTCCCCAGCGGCATGGACAGAGGAAGGAAACATATACTGACCCGTATAAGGAGTGTGTGTGGAAGTGTGGGGGAGAGGGGTCAGGTGATTCTTGGGGCCTGGGATCCTGGTCTGTTGTGGGACGTGGGTTCTGGGGGAGGCAGGTTTCCTTGGTTGTGTAGATTGTATATGCCATGTGAGGAGCGGGTGTATAAGAGGAGTGCTGGACAGAGCCTATATAACAGAGGCTCCCTTTGTCAGGGTCCAAGGCAGGACTGGGGCTTCCAGTACTAGTGCTTTGCTAGAGACTTCTTGGAAGAAGAAATGAGATCTGCAGATCACAGGAATTGGCCCAATGTCCACTCCCTAAATCAGCAGCTCCTTACCTCTTCTGTGGGCTGTTCACCTTCCCCCCAGCATGATTCTGCCATCAGTAGCATTGCAAATGTGCCACAGTTCTTGCAAGGGATCGTAGCAAAATCTGCAGGCAAGACGGGAGGAGGCGTGTGTGGCTTCTAGAATACCTCCCGCAGGTCCTTCTATGGCTCTTCTGGGGCACAAGCCTCTGCCTCAGGCCCCCAGAGAGACCGGTACCCACCTGCAGGGAAATGCTACAGATCTTACCTCTGCCATCACAGCTTTAAATTTTAAAGCTAGGAATTGTGCCCTGAGGACCTCTTCAAAAGAAATTACTTTCTAGCTAGATTTCATGCTAGCACTTTCATTTTGTCACAGTGGTACATGGCGGCTCGGGGGTCCAGCAGCCATGGAAGTGCCAATTGGGAACCGCAGCAGCAGCCACCACAGAGACAGCCCATCGAGCCAAAACTACAACGCCTAAAGTTCAACCGGAAAAGAGGTATGCATCTAATTTCAGTATCAAGAAGGATTTCTTGCTCTTTATGACCACAGACATCAGTGGACACATGCTACCTAGGAGGGAAGGATCTGGGAGAGCCTGGCAAATTAGGAGTTGGAAAATTAGGAATTGGCTTGTGTTGAATGGTTGTTGAACTGCAAGTTTTAAACACAACAGGCTTTTCTTTAAGGAAGTTAGTTGAATACAATCTGCAAATCATGGGAGAATTTGATTCTAGAAGATGCTACATATTCCATATTTTGTATTTGTTGCTTTTTGTTGCGATCATGAGTTCATTGATTGACTGCCAAGTAAACTGAAGTTGGTTAGGAGTAGGGCCTAAATCATCTCCTCTCAACTTTGTTCTTCTAGAAGATGGAGTTGGTGAGGAAGGTATGAAGCAGATATTACAGGCTGGCAGCATGCCCAGTAGGGCAGCAATTCTCCTGCCCACTGGCCTTTCTTCCCACCTTAGCACTTGGAGGCTAGACTGGTAGTAATGTAAACTGAAGAACTGATTTGATGTGGAACTGTGGAGGAAAAATAATTTAATTGCTATATTTTCCTTGTGGCAAAAGTCAATAGTATAAATAACCTTGATGTTAAAATCTTAAAATTAAGCTGGGCACCGGTGGCTCATGCCTGTAATCCTACCTACTCAGGAGGATGAGAGCTAAGGATCATGGTTCAAAGCCAGCCCAGGCTTTAATCTCCAATTAACTACCAGAAAACTGGAAGTGGCACTGTGGCTCAAGTGGTATAGCTCTATCCTTGACCTGAAGAGCTGAGGGACAGCACCCAGGCCCCAGAGTTCAAGCCCCAGGACTGAAAAAAAAATTAAAATTAAGTAAAAATCTAAAATCAAGCTGGGCCTGGTAGTACATATATACCTGGCATCCATTCTCAGGAGATTGAAGCAGGAGGATTATGAGTTTAAGGCCACCACATACAAATTTAGCAGGATTGTTTCAAAAATTAAAATTGGAAAAATAAAAGGATTGGGCTGGGGTTGTAGCTCAGTGATAGCCTAGCATGTATGGCCCCAGGTTAAATCCCCAGTGCTGCCAAAAAACCCACAAAAATCTAAATATATGCTGTAGATTCTATTAAGCAACTATATCATATTTATTCAAAATTAATAGAAACACACACATAGGAAACAAAGATTAAAAGATGATGACCCTAATACCTAGTATCTTGACTCTATTAATATTAACTGAGTATATTCGTACTAAAATATGACTATACTATACCAGTTTTTTATGTTATTTACTATGTTATAAAACTATAGATTTTATTTATTTATTTATTTAGTCTGTCATGGGTCTTGAACTTTGGGCCTGGGCGCTGTCCCTGAGCTCTTCAGCTCAAGGCTAGTTGTGTACCACTTTAACGACAATGCTACTTCCAGTTTTCTCGTGGTTAATTGGAGAATAAAGCCCTGGCTGGCTTTGAACCGTGATCCTCACATCTCAACCTCCTGAGTAGCTAGAGTTACAGGCGTGAACCATTGGTGCCCAGATTAGATTTTCTTTTATACTCCTTACTAGTTTAGGAGTACTTTAATAAATAAATAAATTAATAATTAATTTATCCAAACATTGCAGGCATAGGTTCTTTCTAGCATTTCTGTAGTAGAGATGTTGATGCAGTGAGTATTCTCATTATCATGCCAGTGCAGACCTTTTTTTTGAGGCAGCATATTGTTTAGGCTTATACTGAGCTGGACTAGAAGCTAGACTAGGCATTGTACCAGATTAGGGTCTACAGACTTATTCTGTGGTTCTGTGAAATGTTAAGTAACACAATTTTAGGTTTTGTGGGCCATACTTTATTTTTTTACTGCTCATGAACACATGAGTAGACCTGTGTCCCAATAAAACTTTATTTACAAAACCAGGCAATGTATAAGTATATGGGCAAATGTGGTACAGTAGCTGTAGTTTGCCAGACGTTGTTCTATAGGAAGCATAGATACCTAGATTTAATAAATAGCTAGGTTTAATAAAGAGCTAGGATTTTTATTTCTTTTTCTTGATGCTGATATTCAGTAGAATAATATTATTGTTTCTTTTCATTGTGAACTTAAGTATCTATTATTAGAATGTTGGCTTAATAGTTCAAAGGAAAAACTGCCTTTTTTGAGAGTCCCAGAAAATACAAATGGCAAAACATTTCAACTTTTTCAAGTGAACTATAAAATATGTTTCCATTCAGACAAAGGGAACGTTGGTCTCAGGTGTGCTCTGTCTGGGAGGGAGACGAGGCAGAGGCCCTTGACTAAAGCTTCACACTTCACATTCTGGAATGGAACCGAGTGGGCCTCGGGCTCACTAATGCGCCACTCCTCATGCACCGCACAGTTTTGAATTAAGTGCATGTGTATTTGGGCATTTTCAAATCATGTGCATCTCTTTCATGTATCCCATCACCGTGGGTTTGCAAAACCGTGAGCTGGGCAGAGTAACATTGCTTAAAGGCACTCTTGTCTGAGCTCAGGTGTTATAGATGAAAAACACAGCTCTAAATCCCGTTTGCACATCGATACCCTCTAGGCTTAGGTAAGTCTTTTTAGCCTGGGGTTTCTTAACCAGTAATCTGTTAACTGGCAGCAATCCATGGGAAAATGCACTTGATTTATTGTAAGTCACAGATCTTGAGGGTAAAAGACAGGATACCAGGAGAAGAGGGGTGGTCTAGGTAGAAAGATGAAGGGAAGATTATAGTTTCACCAAATGATGGATCTGAATTTTTAGATAACAAGAAAACTCAACACCACTGTTGGTCTAGTGATAGATACCACACCTTTATAAAAGAGTTCCGTAACAGTTGACATCTTCAGCCACTTAGTTTAATAAGGCAGTGATTCTCAATGGGGTTGAGACAAATTTGACAATGTCAAACTTGTCACAACTTGGTTGAGTGTGTGAGCAGAGGCTAGGGACATTACAGAGCATCTTGTACTGCACAGTATAGCCCTTTGTAAGGGAGGGAGCTAGATGAACCTTGGAGATTTTATGTTAACCAAAAGGAATCAGACATAAGTTGGCTGATTCCATTTTTCTTCAATGTCCTGAGTAGGTGAATGCATAGACTCAGGAAGTAGATTCATTGCCAGGAGAGAAGGGAGGAGATAAAAGCATATAGCATTAGGTAGTGGTGAGAATTGTTCAGCTTGAAAATGGTGAATGATATCTCTATTTTTACAAAAAGAAAAGAAGGATGAATGAAAGAAACATTCTCTCTCCTTGGTTTCTGTCATTGTCAGTTCTCTGTCATGGGGACACTTTTTGACCCATCTCAGACTCAGGTCTTCTGTTCTGCATCTTTGGACATGATCTCCTGGTGGCTCCCAGAGGTTTTGGAGGAGATTGAACCTGCCTGGGCTTCCCCTTCCCTGATGCAGGTCAGGAGCAGGCTTGCCTGGCCTTGGGGTGTGTAGATCTGTAGGGCCATGCAGAATTTGGAAGTCTACATTAGTACATTGTGCTTTCTTTTCTCATTTCCTAAAGCTACTTATTAAAACCCTTGTTAAGGAGTTTTACTTTGCTTTGCTTCTCCCTACTTTCCTTTTCTTTTCTTTCTTTTTTTCCTTTTTTGCTTTCTTCCTACTTTAATTCTGCTTCTTCCTACATATGTTGTGCTTGATTCTTTAGTCTGGGGCTAATGTGAATTTTTTTTTTTGTTATTGTTGCTTTGTTTTTTGTCGGGCATGGAGCTTGAACTCTGGGCCTACGCGCTGTCCCTCAGCTCTTCAGCTCAAAGCTAAAGCTCTACCACTTGAGCCACAGCTCCATTTCTGGCTTTTCTCTGCTTATTTGGTGCTGAGGAATCAAACCCAGGGCCTCATGCATGCAAGGCAAGCACGCTACCACTGAGCACCTTCCCAGCCCCACTGTGATGTTAGTGCCATTTCTAGTAGGGAATTATCTATGCATTGCATTTCCAAGCGGGATGGAGAGGTGGGCGGGGAGTGAGAAATGTAGTTTATCATAGCAGGAAACACGCAAGCAGAAATAAAAGCAGGTGGTAGAGAAGGTAGCAGAGTACTAAGAAGTAATATTCACAGTTGGCTAAAGGAAGGGAGCAGCTGAAAGAGTGGAAGATGGGCTCCTGCTGTACTTCAGATTTAAATGACAGGGGAACCCTTCTTTGTGTGACAGAACTTTTTGTGTGCCAGTCTGTGTTAAGTGAGTAAGTACTTTAGCCACTGAAATTCTAAACATAGGTTTTGTTTTGTTGGGTTTTTTCCATGCTGATATTGGAGCTTGAACACAGGACCTCACATTCCTGCTTAGCTTTTTCACTCAAGGTTGGCTGGCGTTCTGACACTCGAGCCACCCACTTCTACTTCCAGCTTTTTTGCTGGTTAATTGGACATAAAATTGGATTTATCTTTGTAGGCTGTCTTCAAACTGTGATCCTGAGAACTCGGCCTGTTCATAGCTAGGCATGAGCTACTGAGTATCTGGCTTCTTAAACAATTTTTGGGGTAGCTGCTGGATTTTATTTATCATCTGAGGAAATCTGAAATTTGGAGAGGTCAAGAACTTGTATATTCATTAAGCCCTAACAAGTCCAGATCCCACAGCCACAGAACAATATTAGATTTCTACTTTAATTCTCTGCCTGTAAAGAATCCAATCTGTTCACACTGACAGGCTGGTAGGGAAACGCTTTGAGCCCCCAGAGGTTCAGTGTCATGCATAGAACTAAGAGATGAAGATCAGAGTCCAGGCTGGAGACATCCCACCTTCCCCGTAGGTGGCCCTGTGAGCCTAGCAGAAAAGCCTGTAAGTTCTTACCTTTGTATCCACAGTAGATGTGAGTCTAATGCAAGCTTCTTCCCTAGAGGATAATAAGAAATGTGACATATCCATTGCTGCATTTTATTTTATCCAGGAAGCCTAAAACTGGAATATTAATGCTGAACATGGGTGGCCCTGAAACCCTGGGAGAAGTTCACGACTTCCTTCTGAGGCTCTTCTTGGACAGAGACCTCATGACACTTCCTGTCCAAAAGTAAGTAAAAGATGTGTAAACATCTGCACTTTAAAATACACATATGTTATTTTACATTAATATATATCATATATATATTTATGTGTATACACACACACACACACACACACACACACACAAAATGTATTTGGCCTTTGATGTAACAGCTCCAGTTGGAAGAATGAAGTGGTTTGAACGTGTATCTAGTAGTGGTTACATGAGCATGTTATCCTGTTGGAGATGAGGATGTGATGTGGGAAGAACTGCAGGGTGTGGGAAGCCAGTTAGGAAGCATTCTCCTGGAGCCCTTTCCTCCCCAGAGCCCTGGAAATACAGTTGTCCTGACACTGCTGAAGTACCTTTAAAGATTTTTTTTTTTTGGTCTGGTTGTGGGGCCTGAACTCTGGGCCTGGGTGCTGTCCCTCAGCTCTTCAGCTCAAGGCTAGAACTCTACCACTTGAGCCACAGCGCCACTTCTGGCTTTTTTCTTTTTGCTTATGTGGTGCTGAGAAATTGAACCCAGGGTCTCATGCTTGCAAGGCAAGCGCTCTACCACTGAGCCACCTTCCCAGCCCCAGCTTTAAAGATTTTTAAAGATATGTTTGTACTTGGCACTTAATGGCTGATTAACTCTCAGGAAAGCAATGATGATTATTCTTTTGTACTTAATGAGAGCCTGTTCCTATTCTCCTTTTCCTTCCTTCCCTACTTCCTCCTCTTCTTTCTTTCTTTCAAAAAGGTACTTATATATGACTAAAATGCAAAGAGTATAAAAATATTTATAGTGGAAGGCCAATGTCCCTTTTGCCTAGAATTCCTGCCTCGCTGTCATCCCTCACTTGTAAGCACTTACATCCAGAACTAGCCATAAAGATAACCCAGCACATACTCTCTCTCATACACATCCCTACCTCTTTCCACGTAGCCACACAAATGTGAATATGTACTTAGGTTACATTATTTGGCACTTTGTTATTTACTTATTTATTTTTTGGCGGTTGTGGGGCTTGAACTCTGGGCTTGGGTGCTGTCCCTCAGCTCTTCAGCTCAAGGCAAGCGCTCTACCCCTTGAGACGCAATGCCACTTCTGGTTTTCTAGTGGTTTATTGGAGATAAGAGTCTCACGGATGTTCCTGCCCGGGCTGGCTTTGAACCGTGATCCTCAGATCTCAGCCTCCTGAGTAGCTAGGATTACAGGCATGAGCCACCAGCACCCGCTTGGCACTTTGTTATTTTTTAACTTTATTTTGTTTCATATAGGATTATGACTGTTTATAATGGTTTTGTATAGCTATACCTTTATTTAATTTGTGTTTCCTGATAGTTGTTTACAGTATTGCAGTGTACATGTTGCAGTATACACCATTGCCAGTGTATACATCTGTACCTATGGGGTTAATTGGCATTTTTATGTATGTTTGTGCATGCCAGTAGATTTTGCACCTCAGGCTGGTGCCCTACCACCTGAGCCCACCTTCACTACTGGCTTTTTGAGGGTTAATTAGAGATAAGAATCTCAGGGTCTTTGCCCAGGCTGATTTTGAACCACAATCCTCATATCTCAGCCTCCTGAATAACTAGGATTGATCTTGTTAGGTTCTTTGTAAAATTTGCTTATCTCTTGCTTATTGAGTAGAACATGTGGATGAGGTTGCTATAGTTGGATAAAATTCACTCACCTACATGTTAAATAATTTAGCAAGCTGGCACCATTCATTGCCAAACGCCGAACACCTAAAATTCAAGAACAATACCGCAGGATTGGAGGTGGATCCCCCATCAAGATGTGGACTTCCAAGCAAGGAGAAGGCATGGTGAAGCTGCTGGATGAGCTCTCCCCAGACACAGGCAAGGGTGTCTGCATTCACGCAGGCCTGGGTTTTTCTTTCAAAACAGGGCCAGATGCCAAATGCTGTTACGGGTTCCACACCTTTTTTTTTTTTTTTTTGTCGGTCATGGGGCTTGAAAGCTGGGCCTGAGCGCTTTCCCTCAGCTCTTCAGCTCAAGGCTAGTGCTCTACCACTTGAGCCACAGTGCCACTTCCGGTTTTCTGAGTGGTTTATTGGAGATAAGAATCTCACAACCTTTCCTGCCCGAGCTGGCTTTAACTGTGATCTTCAGATCTCAGCCTCCTGAGTAGCTAGGATTATAGTCCAGAGCCACCAGTGCCTGGCAGGTTCCATAGCTTTTGACTGTATCATACAAGGTTATTTAACTGAGTGACTTTGGCCTTTGACTATAGAATCTTTTCTATTACTTTCTATAGTACAAATAAAGGAAAAATTTGGAAGACTAGTTTCAAAAGGAAATTGAAATAGTTTATAAGGCAGAAGTGAAATACCATGAATGCAAGATGCATTTGTCATTGGGCTGGAAAGAAATCTTTAAGACATGGACTGATGCTACTCTTAGGGTTTTTCTTTTGATAGGAATTAGATCAACACATAGAACAGAAATAGCCACTCAAGAGGCTGAGATTTGAGGATTGAGGTTCAAAAGCATTCTGAGCAAGAAAGTGTGTGAGACTCTTATTTCAATAACCACCAATAAGTCAGAGGTAGAGCTGTAGCTCTAGTGGTAGAACGTAAGTCTTGAACATAAAAGCTAAGAGACAGTGCCCAGGGCCTGAGTTCAAGCCCCACTACTAGCATAAGGAAAAACAAACTCATACATAGGGAGTATTTTCCATGTACCTTGTACCATGGTGATGCTTAGCTTATTTAATTTTTAAGGGTACTAGCGATAGATTCTATTATCTTCCCTTTTGGAGTTGGGCTAAGTCAGCTGCCTAAAGACACGCCCCCAGGAATGTTACACCACTGCTGGCTTTTTGTTGGTCAACTGGAGATAAGAGTCTCACTGCCTTTCCTGCCAGCTTTCCTAGCTAGGATTACAGGCATGAGCCACTACTTTCTGCCATGTGAGCTTTTATTGCTCTTTGTTGGTGCAGAGTACATTATCTGTTGCAAATGAAAAAGCATCATATCAAATCTTTCCCCTGGAGAATCATGTCAGCCCACCAGATCCATGCTAAATTAATGGTTTTCTCTAAAGTGTGTATTGGCAGCTGTTCTGAGGGCAGACCAGGAGAGATCTGTGAATCAAGTGTTTGGCCATCCATGGGGCCAGACTTTGTGCCACTGGCTGTGGAGCTGGTGACTGTCAGCAAGGCTCCCTTCCCCTCTGTGTCCTGCCAGGGACAGTATGGCAGGCAGAGTTCCCATGAGCACTGCTGCTGACAGAAAGCACATTTCCCCTTTTCCTAAAATAAATGTTTGCAAGCCTTTTAAACGGCATTATCTGTGCTTTCCAGAGTGGCTGACTGTCTCACATTTCAATAGGTGGTCCCCACCCTGCCTTTATCTGCAAGGGCAGCCTCTCTACCCTCAGTCTGCACTATCTGAGGGTGCCCAGGCTCAAGTACTTAAGACTGCAGCTGTCCAGTACTGGATGACTGAAAAGACCTGGTGAGAAACTGGTTGACCCTCATAATGCAGAGATCTCACGGAATCATCGCGTTGTTTTCAAGTAGATTAGAGAGCAATGTCTGTCAGCTTGTTAAGCCTCACCTGGACTGCCAAGAGGTGTTTGGCAGTGGCTGTGACTGTGGTGGTGTGACAGTTGACAGTTTAGATGTGAATCGCGCAATCATTGAACAGTCAGGGGTTTTTCAGGTCACTGTTTCTGGTGTGTTTTAACTACAGTTCAGCTCTTTTATTCAAGAGAGCATACAATGAGGAACCCATGAGGGACAGAAGCTGCAGATGATTCTGTTTGTTCTCCTTCCCTTTTTTCCTTAAGTCTCAAAACGAGAATACCGACTCCAACCACACTTCTCATGCACTCACATGCTTTTCTTGCCTACTGACCTCTTGTTTCTGCCCTTGGTAACAGGTTACATTGTTTCTTGGTTCCCTGGGTTAAGTTTTGAGGAATATTTTTTTTTATGTGTAGATCCATGCCTGCATAGGAGAAACTCCTTATCATTTGCTTCACTTTAATCTATTTCACTTTAATCTATTTTCATTTTGTCAGTCCTGGGGCTCGAACTCACGGCCTGGGTGCTGTCCCTCAGCTCTTCAGCTCAAGGCTGGTGCTCTACCCCTTGAGCCACAGCACCACTATTTCACTTTAATCTAAACATAGCTGCTAGTACAGTCTTAACTGCAGCCCCCGAGAAGGCTTTGGGTAATAACTAACATTGTGATATATTGTGTTGTTTGCATGAGTGTGTGCACTCATGTATGCTGGCCCTGGAACTTGAACTCAAAGCCTGTGAGCTGTCCTTGAGTGTTTTTTTGCTCAAGGCTAGTGCCCTACTACCTGAGACACAACTCTACTTCTAGCTTTTTTTTTTTTTTTTGATGGTTAATTGGAGCCTCATAGACTTTACTGCTAGGGCTGGCTTCAACCTTTATCCTCAGATCCTCAGATATCAGCCTCCTGAGTAGGTAGGATTATAGGTGTGAGCCACTGGTCCCTGGCTTTTATGTTCAAGTCTGGAGCTGTACCAATTGAACCATAGTTCCACTTCTGGCTTTTTGGTGGTTAATTGGAGATAAGAGTCTCAAGTCTGCTGGGCACTGGTGGCTCACGCCTGTAATCCTACCTAGTTACTCTGGAGGCTAAGAACTGAGTATCGTGGTTTGCCGGGAAGGTCCATGAGACTCTTATCTCCAGCAGATTACTCAGAAAAAGCCAGAAATGGCACTGTGCTCAAGTGATAAAGCCCTAGCATTGAGCAAAAGAAACTTAGGGACAGAGCCCAGACCTAGAGTTTAAGCCCCAAGGACCAGCCCTCCCCGCCAAAAAAAAGTCTCAAGTATTTCCTATTCAGATTGGCTTTGAACAAATTCTCAGCCTCCTGAGTAGCTATGATTACAGGTGTGAACCAGCATTGCTCAGCTCTTAAGCCTCCCTTATCCCAGCAACAAAACAAAAAAGAGGAAAACAATTAAAAATAGCAACTTGAAGCTGAGTGTCAGTGGCTCATACCATCTCAGGAAATAGAAATCTGAGAATCATAGTTCAAAGCTGGCAGCTTTTAATTCTAATTTTTTTTTTTTTTGGTCCAGTCGTGGGGCCTGAACTCTGGACCTGGGCACTGTCCCTCAGCTCTTCAGCTCAAGGCTAGCGCTCTACCACGTGAGCCACAGCGCCACTTTCGGCTTTTTTTTTTTTTTTTTGCTTGTGTGGTGCTGAGGAATTGAACGCAGGGCCTCAGGCCTGCAAGGCAAGCGCTCTACCACTGAGCCACCTTCCTAGCCCCCTTAATTCTAATTTTTTAATTCTAGTTAACCATTAAGAAGCTGGAAGTAGAATTGTGGCTCAAATGGCAGAACACTAGCCTTGAGCTCAAAAGCTCAGGGACAGCACCCAGGCCCTGAGTTCAAGCCCCTGGACTAGCTCTCTCTCTGTGTCTCTCTGTCTCTCGGTCTTTCTCTCTGTCTCTCTCTGTCTGTCTGTCTCTCTCTCACACACACACATAGCAGCAGCAGCAGCAGCAGTAGTAGCAGCTTTAATTTTAAGAGCCATTATGTTAAGTAAAGGCATGTGGGTGTGGGTGTTGTTTGCAGAAAATAGTGACTAAAAGTACACGTACCAACTAATGAGCGGTTAAGATCCAAAGAGTGTTCTGAACTTGCTCACATTTTCAGCATTGTAGGAAATTAGGTTAACTGTCCTTTGTTCTGGGCACTCCATTATGCTTGGTGACTGGAGGAATCTATATAAAGATTAATACTTTCTCCTTTCCACTTGTGCCTCCTAATAGCTCCTCACAAATACTATATTGGATTCCGGTACGTCCATCCTTTAACAGAAGAAGCAATTGAAGAGATGGAGAGAGATGGGCTAGAACGGGCCATTGCTTTCACACAGTATCCACAGTTCAGCTGCTCTACCACGGGTAAGGGCGTCTGACAGTGGGAAGGTGGATATGGCCCTGGCAAAGTAAACTGGGCAGTCTGATGGCCAAAGAAAAGATAAATCATTTGTGATTTGAATGGCAAATCCAGCCTGTCTCCTTTAAACTGGCGGGCTCAGGTCAATCTATGTGAAATCTCATGGTTCATCTGTTTCTTGAATTATTGGCCAGTCAGCTGAGAATTACAAATGGTGGGTGGAAGGCAGGGCCACGCATGCTCAGTGTGGTAATGCAGTAGGGTAATAGGTGAGTAACGAATCTCTAGCTGCCATCTAGGTTTGTTCTACAACTTCATTTTCACGTCTATTCTGATTTTTGTGTTAATGAAGTAACTGTTTTAATGATAACTGTTTTAATTTTGGAAGGCTTTTAAGCCCATATAATGTGGGAATTATCAGTGTTAGCATGTGCCATGTTGCTTCATTTCCTTCTGGGGTGTTTGCTGGTTAGACTAAAGTCTAGAGTTCTCTTTGCAAGCTTCTCTCAGTGTTCTCAGTCTCTTTGGGAAAGTATCACTCCTTACTGGCCCCCTGTATTTAACTGAGGCTGGAGAATAATCTTGATATGGTTAGTCATAGTAAGCCTCCTCCATCACGCACAAATACATTTGTTCGCATTGTTTCAGGATTGAGGTCAGCGTATTTCCCCTCCCAAACTTTAGATATTAATGTTATTCTCTCTGTAACTATAAGAGAAACAAGAGGCAACTAGAAGAAGCATTCAGAGCCTGTGGACCTTAAATATAGATGTGAAGTACCTGTTAAAATGCCCAATCTCCCCCTCCCATTGCCAAAGTTTGAATTGTGTTTTGTTCTAGAAACCTACCACCATGTCAAAATATCTGGCAATAGACTTTTAGCAAATAAGTCTGATCTTTTGGGGGGGGGGTGTGGGGTGTGTGTGTGTGTGTGTGTGTGTGTGTGTGTGTGTGTGTGTGTGTGTACTAGGGCTTGAACTGAGGACCTGGGTGCTGTCCCTTAGCTTTTTTTGCTCAAGGCTGGGGCTCAAGTGGAGCCACGGTTCTACTTCTGGCTTTTTGGTGGTTAATTGGAAACAAGAGTCTCAGAGTTTTCTGCCTGAGTTGGTCTTGAACCTTGATCCTCAGATCTCAGCCTCTCGAGGAGCTAGAATTCCATGGTATGTGCTACCAGTCCAACACTGAAGATCTTTGAATTTTTAAGGTGTTTTTTCTAAATCTTGGTTTACAAAATACATCTCAACATGTAAATGTGTGTTTTTCAAAGTAATTAAGTTCCGAAGATGGTTATTTTCAAGGCACAGGACTGATTGTTGTGTTCATTTCACAGCTGGGTCTTAGTGATTGTTCTGAACTGCAGGGCACACTCAGATTTTCCCTGGTGTTTCCTGGGTGGGTGTCAGGACAGAATGTCTGTGCTCTGAGCTGTGGCTGTGTTTGGGAAGCACATTTATTCTGTGGGGCCACTAGCTTGTTTGTTTTAGATTGTGGCTTAGACGGAACTGTGGTGCAGAGCCAGTGCATTCTGCATATCTCTGAGAAGCAGCTTTCTCATGTTTTCCCCTTCTTAATTACCTCTTACCAAATGTTTTCATGACCTGAGAGCTAATGTAGCTTCCCAGTGCCCTTTTATACATCTGAAACCCATCTCTGTCTGTAAACTATGATGAATTGTGGTGTGAATATGCTGGTGTCTACTTTGATTTCTACAGAGATTCTTTTTGACCCTTGAATGGACTTGGTTTGGTTCTCAAAATTCACTGTATTCTATTCATCAAAATTGAACTCATTCATCTTGTAAAAGATGAGTTCTAGTCCAAGCATACATTTGAGGTAAAATGTGATTCAGCTTTGACGAGGCTCTTAAATTGGGAACTTTACTAGTGGTTTTATAGGAGAGAACCTAGTGGTGGGAGGCATGCAGATCTGTTGGAAATGTCCCCGTGCGAAGGCGAAGAGGTTTCCTAGGGTTAGGGTTTGCCCCAGTTTCTGCTTCCCTAGACCGGGAAAATAGTTGCTTTAGGTTAACATCATCAGCCATCGTGTAGGCTTGAAATTTTCATAACTTCCATCTCTCACTTAGAAATAAAATCTCACTTGTGTTAGATTGCCTGTTAGAAATTAGTTAGAATTTAGGGAGTGCTGAAAATTTTGTAGAAACAGGTAAAAAAGAATGTTGGTAGAATCCTTGTGATAATGCACTGAATAGCTTTCATTGTAATGTAGAAAATATTTATCCTGTCATATTAAGTAAAAATATCCAGAATACTCTGGATCTGGATACAGATGTACACACACACACACACACACACACACACGCACACACGCACACACACGCACACACACACACACACTAACATTGTTCTGTAAAACAAAACAGATCTAAAGAAAAATACCTGAGAAGAGTTATGCCAGAATGAACCAATGTGGATATTAGCATAGAGATAATGGCCTATTTCCTTCTCCTCTTTCTTCCTCACCCCTACATTTTTTGGTAATGGGGCTGATTTCCTTCATAGTGGGAAAATCTTTGTTCGCATGCTTTCAAAAGACTTGATCCCTGCAAGTAATAACTGCTTATATTTCATAAATCCATGGCCATCACGTTTCTCACTAGAAATGGCCTCTTTGAAAGTCTGTTGAGATTGATTGCTTTTTAGTGATCTTCATTTGCAGGCTAGTTAAATCTATATGCATTTTGGAGTATTGGAAAGGTTGTAATTAGACTGAGATTCTGTATAGAATCAGATTCCTGCTCTGAAATTACTGTGACGGCTTTTACTAGTCTTTTTTTTTTCACCATAATCAAAGCATATCAATTAAGAGGCCCCCCTGTATGTTCCAGGCAGCAGCTTAAATGCCATCTACAGATACTACAGTGACGTGGGAAGGAAGCCTGCCATGAAGTGGAGTACTATTGACAGGTGGCCCACACACCCCCTCCTCATCCAGGTAAGTGTTGCTGTGACTCAGGTTCTTCTTCTGTCTATGGATTTTTTTGAAAAATTAGATTCTTGAAGTATTATGAAAAGAGAAAATAGAACATGTAATGTTTTACAGCTAATTTACATCCAGAGATTGACACATAACTTTAACTATTTTCTAAATCCTTTAATATGTCAAAAGATTGCAAAAAAAAAAAAAGAAAAATAGCAGTAACTTTGAGCTGAAGAGCTCAGGGACAGCGCCCAGGCCCATAGTTCAAGCCCTGTGACTGACAAAAAAAGAGAAAGAAAAGAAAATAGATGTATGTTACTGGGATACGAAAATAACATTTCATGGGGAAAGTTTCAAATTTCTCCTGAATAATGTATTTGTATTATATTTGTATTAAGTGGTGCTGTGTTGTAGGAATATCAATTACAACTACAATTCAAAAACCAGTAGCTTTGAATGGGTGTACTTTGAGAGCGCTGCTGGTGAAATATGCATGTAGATTTTTTTGTTTTATAGAAGTTTCTGATTTAGGGTTATTTTAGATAGGAGAAATATGTACCAATTTACATTTTATTTTCCAGTGTATATTATTATTGGAACAGACCTGTCTTTTCTTTGAAAAGCTTGGTGACCACTAGATGGTGCTGTGAGTCACTAAAATCCACTGGCCCTCTCCAGAACAGCCCACCTCCTGGGGGCAGGTAAAGGGTTACTGCATGAACTACACTTTTAAGTAAAAAGTGAAAGGCAAGACCACTCTTAGGAATAGGTGTCATTGTTGGTTCTGCTTCTACCAGTTGCCATGCTCTGGGGTACAGCACTGGCTACCCAGAGCACCCTTGTCCTGCCGGCCCCTGTGGGCCCTGTGTGGGGAGAGGAGTGATTATGTCAGCACTGACATGTGGTGCAGGAACCCAGGGAATCTGCACAGCATCTGCCTGCCCTGATGGAGGGAGTCATTAGATTTGCATTAAAATTCAGCCCTTTGAAAAGGGGGAAGCAGAAAGATGGAAAGGTCTCTTAACTGAGGAAGTCTGTGTTCATCAAATGAAAGGGAATTTTAGAGGCATTTATCTGCCCTCCCGGCTGGTGTGATTGAAGGCTCTGAGAGGCACCGCGCCTCTTTCATTTTGCATGGGGGCCCCGCGTGTGCGCGCGTGCAGAAAATCCCACAGATGGGTTTTAGGTGATTTAAGTAGCATTTGCCCAGGGCACCTCCATGCAGAAGAGGGCTTAGAGATTGTGGCAGGCCAGTAAGGAACAGTGTTCTTAACCTATAGCTTTTTGAGCTGACAAAACACCCCCACTAAACTGTAGAGAAGAGAGGAAATGTTTTTGAAATGGAAAATCAAAACTAAAACCCTCCTTGGAAACTCAGCTAAAAATATGGTTTAAAAGTCTTGCTGTTGCTCTGCACCTCTATCGTTGGAGGTAGCGATTCCTTAAGATAGTCTTAGTACTATTCCCTGGAATACTGCGATTCGCCTCACCATTGGAATAACTGGAGTAAATCTGTGTTCCAGAATTCCATATTGGGCTGAGAAGGTGGCTCAGTGGTAGAGTGCTTGCCTTGCATGACTGAGGCCCTGGGTTCGATTCCTCAGCACCACATAATCAAAATAAAAAGCCAGGAGTGGTGCTGTGGCTCAAGTGGTAGAGCGCTAGCCTTGAGCTAAAGAGCTGAGGGACAGCGCCCAGGCCCAGAGTTCAAGCCTCACAACTGGACTCAAAAACAAACAACAACAGAATCCCTTATCTGTTCTCAGTGGCCGCCTTACCTAGGCTGTTGTCCCAGAATAATCTTATGTGAGCTTTCTTAGTCTCCAAACGCTTCGAAGACCACCAGGAACTACAGCTTTTGTTTGTATCAAATACTGCCACCTTTACTCAAGGGTAAATTATGAATTCTCAACGGGGAATTTAATTCTAAGTATTTTTAAGGGGGTAATTTACATGTCCTGTAGTAGAGGTATAGTGGGTCACTAATATAAAAAAAAAACGAACATGTGCAAATTTGTATAGTTCTTTACAATTTTTAAATTGTTTTATTTGAAAATAATTTTAGACATACCAGAAAGTTGCAATATTAAGAATAGTAAAAAAGAACTCTACTTTTTAGTTATATTCACAAAGAATTAACACTTATCCCATCTACTTTCGTGTTGTATATATAAATACATTTGTATTTACATATATGTAAATATATATATTTGTTTATGTATATATGTTTAGTGTGTATGTATATACATGTTTATGTATATTTATGTATACATACATATGTGTGTACATACATGCACATACATAAATCACCACTTGAGAGTAGGTTGTGTGTACATCACCACCCTTTAAACCTAAATACATGAGAGTATATGTTTCTCAACGTCAGGGCTATTTTCTTGCATAACCACAATTTACAGATGCTACTGAGCATCCATACAGTTAACACTGATATTCCATTTTAATTTCAGTTCATCTTCCAGTTTTGTCAGCTAACCCATTACCATCTTTTGCAGCCTTTTCTTTGTAGGTTACATGACAAAGAATGATTACAGGGGGAGATGAAAGAAAGCCTCTTCAGATCAGGCATTTCAGCACCTATCTCCTAGAATGGGGAAGTGACAACTCAGCAGGGAGGGAGAGGGTCTGATGGGTGGGTGGTGGAGGATGGGGAGCAGGAGGAGCCCCAGTTCCCTGATGAGGCCAGATGGCCCCCATGTCCACGTGGTTTCCCCTCTGCATTCCATGGGGATCATCGAGTCTTTCGTCTGTGGCTAGGAAGGTTGTGAGGAAGACTCCGTCAGTGAGGATCCTAGGTGAGGAAGATAGCATAAAAATAGAGTGTTTTCTGGTTTCTCTCCCGTTTGTGGCTAATGTATTTTAATGTAATATGCCTGAAAGCCAAAGTAAGGAGGATTTAGAAAGACCCTGTAAGCTGTTTTCCTGCTAACAGAGCAAATGAGAGGTCTTAAAACAACTTCTTCCCATCTGTGTCTCCCTTGCATCTGGAAGTGTGCCCTGCTCTTCCCGAGGGGGAGCAGCTCACAGCATTCATTTGCACTGAGCCATTAGTGAGCTTTAGACGTTTCCCATCAAATTCCCCAGGCCCCTGAAACCGTTAGGATCCATTTTGATGATGAACCAAAGCAAAGAGACTGTACTGTTAGCATTTTTTTTAAAAAGAGAGTTCTGTTTCTTTTGAGGATTGCTCTTGAGATTTTTAGTAGAGCTCTTATTTTAAAAATATTTTCTTTCCTTCTCTCTCCGCTTCCCACTCCCCCTGTCCTTTCTTGGTATCCTCCCAGTGCTTTGCTGACCACATTCTGAAAGAGCTGGACCATTTCCCACTGGAGAAGAGAGGCGAGGTGGTCATTCTCTTTTCTGCTCACTCACTGCCAATGTCTGTAAGTAAGAACATTCTGTTGGGTCACCTAGTGGTAGAGGATTGGTTGTTTTCATTTTCTTTTCTTTTTTGGGGGGGCGGGGTCTGGTCGTGAGGTCTGAACTCTGGGCCTGGGCTCTGTCCCTCAGCTCTTCAGCTCAAGGCTAGCGCTCTGCCACTGAGCCAACTTGCCAGCCCTGTTTTCATTTTCTGATATATAAAATGGGCCTGGCTCCATTATATTCTAAGCACAGTGCAAGAATGAACTCTAAAATTGAAGACTGAACTTGATGTAACATACTTCTTGAAACCTCATAGCAATAAATTTGAATTCTAGACCTTGTCTATATGTGGTCAAATGATAAGTGGAAAATATATTCAGATATAAGAATTTCTAACAAAGACAAAAGTAGAGCCAGGTGTTGCTGACTCAAGCCCGTAACCTAAACTACTCAGAGATTGAAATCTGAACATCAAGATTTGAAGCCAGCTAACTTAGGAAAGTCCATGAGACTCTGATCTCTAACCACTAAAAAACCAAAGATGGAGCTAACAAATGAAAAAGAGCTAAGGAACAGTGTTTAAGCCCTGAGTTTAAGCCTCAGTATGGCATGGGCGTGCATACACACATGCATGTGTACACACACACACAAGATGAATGAAGAAAGAAGGGGTAGATAAATGTCCCAATAGTTGATGTACAGATATGAAAATGGAACCAGTTAAATTGAAGGGATGGATGGAGTTGCAAGAGATGGGAAGAATAATAAAGGGATGACTTTGATCAAGATGCAGTCTGCTTATAAATTGACATGTTGAATTGAAACCCCTTCGTACAACTACTTAAAGATAATAATTTTAAAACATTTAACAAGTAGGACAGCTAAAAGAAGTGTGTTCTTACCTGTCCCGTTAAAGCAGCTCAGCCTGAGATTCTGGCGAAGTGCATTATTCAGCCAGTCTCCATTTGATAAGCACTCTTAGCTGGATACTTTGTTCTTCAAGATGTGATAATTACCATTTGAATTCCAGAAAGTAATTATAGTTTCTAATTTGCTAAGACTGAAGACCACCATTTGCCAGTAAGCATATAGCATGAGCATGTTTGCTTATAATCCAGTTGTTCCTGAATCCATCATATTATACCAGGTTGTTTATGAAAATACCACACATTGCGCCATTCTCTTGTCTGCATGTGTATATGTGTGTGCATGCATTCACATGCATGCACATACCTGCACATAGTAGAGGTTTGACCTCAGAGCCTAACTCTTTTCTTAATTTTTTCTTTTTTTAATTTAAATTTTAATGTAAAGGTGATGTACAAAGGGGTTACAGTTGCACAGTGAATACATTTCTTTTTGAACAGTGTTACCTCCTCCCTCATTTTTCCCCACTTCATTCCCCTGACCCCTTATTCCCCACAAGCTGTAAAGCTAATTTCCAACATAGTGTCTAGTAAGTAGCACTGTTGAATTGGTTTACCCTTTGTGTCACTGTTTCTGTGGTTCCCTTTCCCTTCCCCAAATCACACAAAGGTACACAAATCAAAAACAGTAACAACAGGGAGTAAACTAAAGGAAAAAAAAAAAAGAAAAGAAAGAACTGCAAACCGTACAAAAACTAAAACAAAAAAAACCCCTCTTGTTTCCATTTCTTGGAGTTCATTTCAATAGTCATCGTTTTTGTTTTTGTCAGTTGTGGGGCTTGAACTCTGGGCCTGGGAGCTGTCCCTCAGCTCTTCAATTCAAGGCTAGTGCTCTACCACTTGAGCCACAGCGCCACTTCCGGTTTTCTAGTGGTTTCTTGGAGAGAAGAGTCTCACGGACTTTCCTTGCCCAGGCTGGCTTAGAACCTCAATCCTCAGATCTCAGCCTCCTGAGTAGCTAGGATTATAGGTGTGAGCCACCGGCGCCCAGCAATAGTCATCGTTTTATATGGTCATGTGCACATAGTTATTGATCCACTGTGATCCTCTCCTAAGAATATCCTCCTTTGTTCTTGCTGTGCGAATGCTTAGAGTGCTGTTTAATTAATCATGTCAAAGTGTAATTATTTGTCTTTTACTATCCATTGGATTAATTTGTAGGCATATTCTTAGTTATTACAAATGAGGGAAACCAGCACTGGGAAGGTGGCTCAGTGGTAGAGTACTTGCCTTGCATGCATGAGGCCCTTGGTTCAATTCCTTAGCACCGCATAAGCAGAAAAAGCTGGAAGTGGGGCTGAGGCTCAAGTGGTAGAGTGCTGGTCTACAGCTGAAGAGCTGGGGGACAGAGCCCAGGTCCAGAGTTCAGGCCCCACAACCAACCAAAAAAAAAAAAAAAGCAAATGAGGGAAACCATGCAGCCTATGTTTCTTTGGATCTGACTTATTTGCATAATGTTTTTTCCAAGTCTTTCCATTTCCTTACAAATGGGGCAATGTCATTCTGATGGAAGCATAGAATTCCATTCTATATATATGCCACATTTTCTTGATCCATTCATCCACTGAGGGGCATCTGGATTGAGTCCATATCTTAGCTATGGTAAATAATGCACAACGAATAAAAGAAAGGCTATATAAATGGAATTTCATCAAATTGAGGAGTTTTGAATGCCAGAGGACATAGCTAGCAGGATAAATAGAAAGCCCTCAGAATGAGAGAAGGTCTTTACTAGCTATCCATCAGACAAGGGTCTAAATATATCTATAATATACTTAGAGCTCAAAACCTTACATCCCCAAAAAACAAATCCTCAAAGAAACGACCCCATCAATAAGTGGGCTAAAGACTTAAAGAAAGACTTCTCTGAAGAAGAAATAAGAATGACCATCAGACACATGAAGAACTGTTCAACATCTCTGGTCATAAAAGAAATGCAAATCAAAACAACATTGAGATCCCACCTCACCCCAGTTAGAATGGTCATTATTAAGAAAACAATATGGCCGAAAGGGAAGACTACTACACTGTTGGTGGGAATGTAAACTTGTTCAACCACTCTGGAAAGTAATATGGAGATTTCTTAAAAGACTAAACATAGAGCTTCCCTGTGATCCAGGAATCCTACTCCTGGGCATTTGCCAGCCTGTACTAACATACCAGCATAACCATGTTCATTGTTTAGCCTTTTCTACTCTGGCCTGGAGCCTACTGTTAACCTCTGGAGTCATGTCTCCAATTCCAACTTCTTACCCGTTAGTTGGAGATAAACGTTTCACTGATTTGTCTGTCGGGGCTGGTTTTTAGATCTTCAGATCTCAGTCTCTTAAGTAGCTAGGCTTATAGGCATGAGTTCATCACACCTAGCCTGTTGTCGTATTCTTAAAAACAAGGAAGATCATGCTCATCTGCTGTATGACATATGGAAGGCCTTGGAATAAGTACCTAGTTTGGTCAGTTCAGGTGGAGAGTTATGTTTTCTTAGTGTGATTAATGTTTAATGGAGCCAATCTCACTGTGGGGGCCATTCTGTTCACTGCTCCATACCGCCATCTGGTGGTTACCAGAGTCAAGCCCTGTGCAGTTTTCCATCCCTTACACCTCTACTATGGAGTTGCAACTTTTACAGTATATAAATTTCTCCCTTCTGGAAGTCAATTTCATTTAAAAAGGATCATATTATCTTTCCCTGTGTTATAAAAATCATCTTTGCGTATTTTTCGTATGGATAATGAGACCTGAGGTATCCGAGGAGGTACCCTGACCGGGTTGGCTTTGAACCTTGATCCCCAGCTGTCAGCCTCCTGAGTAGGTAAGAGTACAGATGTGAGCAGGGTAGTAGGAAACATTTGCACAGGCATATTCTAGGTACTGTCTTGCGAGCTCTCATCCTTAACTTCATTTCTTCTTCTTTGCCTCAGACTGAGCATGCTGCTTTGGGGGTCTGTGTGGACTGAGGAATGCTAAGGCAGGCTAGGGAAGATGGTGGATGATGGGAAATGAACGCTGATCTTTCCTTAACATTTTTTTTTTTGGGTCCGGTTGTGGGGCCTGAACTCTGGGCCTGGGCACTGTCCCGCAGATCTTCAGCTCAAGGCTAGCGCTCTACCACTTGAGCCACAGCGCCACTTCTGGCTTTTTTCTTTTTGCTTATGTGGTGCTGAGGAATTGAACC